AAGTTTTAAGGATGCAGATTACCGACAAAAATTGCAGCGGCGATCATAGGCTACAAAGGGATTACGTAGTTGGGAAACAGATGGTGTGTAGCAAGCGCTCGCTGCGCTTTGGCTATGGACATACCAGGCATTCCGGAAAGCGGTAGTTGGCCAGATATTGCAGCCCAGGCAGTTCAAACTCCTTTTTGTCCTTTCTCCATGGCCGGTCGAGTCTCATCCAAGCATTATTTTTCTTTGCAAGCCCTAAGAACGCATAGCAACATACAGATCAGTCTTCAATAAATTAGTTTGGCCATGGAAAAATTGTCCCTGAGGCTGTGGACCGTGAGGCCTTCCTCTTACAATAAATTCACGTTCAATAAGAGTTTAGTTCAAATCAATAGTCCACAAAGTTAACAAAGGGTATAGAATGGTATTGCCTTTGAGGCGATGTCCATTCGATGATACAAAGGGCTTTGCCCAGCCACTGGCATCTGTGCACAAAAGACCGCTTGAAAGGAAACATCGATGGCAGGTCGCCTATGCAAACACAAAGCAGGCTTTTGTACAGAACACAAATAAAAATACAGCAAAATAATAAAGTGAACGATCGGGAAAACGTATTTTAAAAGTCAATTTTAGGGGAAAGATATCAGGCAAATAAATAGGAAAAATTTTGTACGAACTGCGGTATAGTAGAATGTGGAACACAGCAGTCGCTCTTAATTAAAACGAAACAAACATTTCATGAAGATGGGAGTATCCATGGCTGCAAATCTATTCATATGACACAAAGGTGTCGTACAATCAAGAAATTTATGTTCAAAAGCCAAGTTCTACGCTACGATTTTCTTTTCCACGTAGTAAAGATGAGAAATTGATGTAATGGCTAGAAATAATCATTTCTTTTTATTATGCGCGAGACCTTTAAATACACAGCTTGGAATATTTAAAGAGTTGCACGATTCACATAACATTTCTGCAAGTTATGATTTCAGCAGAGCCGTACAAATGTATCTGAAGCGAATTTCACAAGTTTTCGTGCTCTGCGCCAGCGATGCCACCCTCCCCCAAGTAAACATGAAATAGCAGTAGCGAAAGTTTAAAAGGTAATATCACGTGCGAAGGGTCTAGCCCCCTCCTGGAAAAATGGCTTGCTTTGTGCGGTCGGTCTAATGAAGGTTGAGAGCACACGCTTTCTAAATAATGCACATTTCTCGATGTTGCATGGAGTGTCCGAGTCACTCAAGGAAATATGTTATTCTGTTACAGCGATTGTCCTAGCGTGTGCGTTATTGTGGACAAAAACAGATCTCTTCGTATCTGGAGAGGCCCTTATCACCGAGGCCTGTTTGTTTCACACAGATCCGAATCTCAATGGGTGACCCGTCGTTAACTGACACTAAAACCCACTTCTAATTAGCAATTCGAATGTATTTCACGTTTGCTTTTTCTTTCTCTACCTCTTTGTTATTTGGGTTTCTTTTCTTTTTAGGGGCTCACTGTGTACCAGGGACTTGCATTTATTTCGAAACGGTAAGCAGTTCCCCACACTACTCAAAAAAGCACATTATCCCCAACAAAAGAACACAAAACAAAAACGACGAAACGAAAAATAATAAAAGAATTTGTGTGGATGAAATATTCGGAAACAACTTGATACCCCTTGTAATGTGAGCGTGTCTTATTGAGTGGCATGACAGGATAAAGAGTAAACCAAATACCTGTAACAGCCCAGGCCATTGACCCTAGAACTGCTCACAGGGACAGGCTTGCTTGACATTTTCAAGTAACTTCCTAGCACCAGAGTGTACTAATACGAATTACAGCCATGTGACTGGTGAGTGGCGCCATTCTCGATATTGCCAACTAATTTTGATAGTCGAATACCGATGATAACCTTTTGTTGTGCAAGTAAACTTTGTCCTATAAATGTTCAGTAATAAAAAAAAAAAGAAATCTCAGATTGAAGATCACAAACTGAATATACAAGATATTTATGCATTGGAGACTGAACACACACCAACCAAAGGCATGAAATTTTTTAACGGAGAGCACCTGGCTTAAAATGAGTGCTAAACAGTAAAAAGGTTCCAAGGTTTGCCGGGGTGATAGTAGGGATAAGCTCCAAGTATCTATAAAATGTTCGTTGATAGCATGCGTCTCAAACAGCTTCTGACAACCAACTCCCAGTCTGCTCGTGTGGCTTAGCATCTAAGCCCAGCGGAACCACTTCTACCGGCAGGAGAAGGGGGCGAAGGCGAGTATCTGGCGCTTATAAACAAGTTGCTTCAGAGAGGTGGGGTTCGTCAGCCTTGGAAGGCAGCTCACCAAGGGGAAGGAAAACCCCGATTCCAAACCTCAGCTGCCTTGCGGGATACCTGGCCGGTAGTGCAACCCGTCTGTATAGAGAAAACCACGCCCTTTTTCTTGGTTTTCTCGAATCTCTCGACCAATCAGAAGGCTGGTTTTTGCTGATTGACCGCCTGATTTGCATAATTTGAGGAGCCGGCCGGTACCATGTCTAGTAGGGGTTTTCAATAAGTGAGGAATGTACTTCTGATTAATTAATTGCTCTTTTGAATTCTTTTATTTTGCTGTACAGGCCTACGTATTATATTTTCAACTTTATGCCAACAATACAAGACTGTACTGTCTTGTGCTGTTGAAAGTTGAAAATATAATACGTAGGCCTATTCAGCAAAAAAAAAAAAGAATTCAAAGGAACGATCATAAGTACATTCCTCACTTATTGAAAACCCCTACTAGACATGGTACCGGCCGGCTCCTCAAATTATGCAAATCAGGTGGTCAATCAGCAGAATCCAGCGTTCTGATTGGTCGAGAGACTCGAGAATACCACGAAAAATGGCGTGGTTTTCTCAATACAGACGGGGTGCACTAATCTGGCCACTGGGATAGGCTTCGGGAGTCAACCGTAAGGAAAAATCTGGAGTGGAGCCCCCAATTGCAAGGCGGCAGGACATCGACACCGACTTCCTTCCGGCATCTCCTGCGGCCAACCTTGTGCCAGATGTACTACTCTGCACTCCTCTAGATCACACCGGCGAGTAGGAGAGGCGGACTCTGGGCAGCCGGTCTCCATACACCTTGCCCAGTCCTGCGCCTGGAGAGGTCACTTCGATTCACTGCTGGGAGCAAACAACACGAGAGGCAGAAGAAAGGTACGATGCTACGGGTTGCCTCCGTCTGTGTGAGGGATCATCGTGTCCCAGTGGTCACCTACCGCCCGCATCAAGCCGAGCAGCTCCCGGTCAATAAGGCGCCGACCCGCCAAGGTCGAGAGACAACATAGTCAGCCCTCAGCAGCATTCCCAGCCTGCCAGTCATGGAGCAGCTTGATGCTCCACCAACAGAGGAAGAGCTGAGCAAGGCCGTCTACTCCTTTGCACACGGCAAGGCCCCAGGAAGAGAAAGCATTCCAGCAGAAATGCTTCGGTGCTCGAAGTCCACTCTCCTGCATCACCTCCACGAGCTCCTCTGTTAGCGCTGGGAGAAAGGATCAATTCCCCACAAAATGTGCAACGAAACATCGTCACCCTCAGAGCAAGGAGGGTCGCAGAGACTGCAACAACTACAGATGGATTCCGCTGCTGAGCATTGTGGGGAAAGCGCTCGCCCGGGTAGCTCTGAAGAGACTGCAACAACTTGCTGAGCGGGTCTACCCCGATTCGCAGTGTGGTTTCAGAGTGCAGAGGTCTACCATATAATTTTTGCCTTAATACAGCTGCGGGAAAAACGCAAGGAGCAAAAGCAGCCATTGTACATCGTCTTTGTAGACCCGACCAAGGGGTTTAATTTAGGGGGCGCTAGGGGGCGCTTGAGCATTTGGCGTCATTGGTTCAAGTTCGGCGCAATATGTAGAGACTAACACTGCTGAAAACAATGTTCATAGGTTTTTACCAGTTCTCTTTTCCGATAGAAGCGTCAGGTGATTTTACGTGAACGACAAAACTAGGCTTTACACTGTTACGTGCCTCAAAAATCAGGATAAGGCATCTCAGTTTGATTTTACATGGATTTGTAAAGATAAAAATATCAAATTTTAATTGCTTGTAGTTTGAGACCTGATAACGTCATCATGACGTAAAACTTGCAGGTACACCCTGGAATCTGGTTTGATTTCGATACCAACCTTCCAGTTTATGCGTTGTACCATGTTGAAAAAAATAGCCCTGAAAATTTTTGTCCAGATAAAAAAAGAGTAAAAGAAGAAGACTGAATTCTACCATTTCTGAAAAAGTGGAGCCCATATAATAAGCAAGTAAACACAAACCATCTGTCCATCTCTCAATTTCTAAAGAGTCGACGGGACGTGTTTGTTTAAGTTACCAACACGACGTGATTGGCAATATCACTGGATAATGCTTTGATGACAAAATGAAAGATTTTAATGCACGTCATCATAAAATCTAGCTGTGTCTCATCATTAAATTTTGTGCAAGATAACCTGTGTGAATGCACAACATTGAAAAAGACAGATTTCAAGATGTTCCAAATAGGGTGCTTTTGACAATGAATAGAGCCCATTTTAACAGAATTTCTGAAGAGTGTGGTTTAAAACAACCTACACATATTTTTCACACGTATAACACATTTCTTGAGATCCTTGCTTTAAAGTTCCCACTGAAGGACACCGATAGTTTATTTTCATTCTATAAATATGAAATGGAAAATGAAAAAACCGAGACTTAAACTTATCAGTCTGCAATACCAAACAATAGTCCTATCTGTAAAATATGACAGGAATAACACGATGACAAGTACAAGAAGTGGATAAGAGTTTCTTTTTGTCCTTACAGCCAAAAATAACTTTTGACTCCAACCTTTTGATATTGGCTAAATACGAATTGGTGACCAAGATTAGAGGGAACTGTAACCACAAAAGCAAAGGTCAAACGAATTTAGAACCCAAACAAAATGAAATCTGAGTCACTTTATAAGATAAAGCTGATAGAAAATAGTTATTTTTAAAACTAACATCACTCATAATTGCATACCTGTTTGCGTCACAGTCAGGTAGCACTTGGCTGCATATCGGCCGGGGCTGATATTCATGTCAGTTGTTTTCATGCTTTATACGTTAACCTCTCGGTGGAAACCCGAGGATACTAATCATCTAGAAAACAAAAAGAACAAATAATAACCACTTCGAACCAAATTGGCAATTGGGCATTGCTAACCGTCTTTCCGATAACTGCTGTTTGTCACAACATGGGCCCGTCTTTCCCATGAAGGACTGCAGCGGTAAAGGTTGAGAGACGTGTGGACTTAGTAAGGAAAAACTCAGGAGGGCGAAAATTGCGTTCAGAAAATAAACTCTTAATTTAATTAAGTACCAAATCTATCTTATTCCAAACAGGCCAATTATTCCGTAAATTTATTATCCCAAAAGTAAGATAAACAAGAGAATAAATAAATAAAAATATANTGTTAAGCTTTGCATGGTGGTCCACTAAGGACAAACAACCCAGCCTCATGTAGTACCCGGGGGGGGGAAGCCCTTTAGAAAAAGATCAAATATTGTGGATACTGACACTGACAGTATTCTAAAAAATTCTAGCTTTTAGTTAACACTAAAATAATCTCAAAATTCACCGTCAAGTTTAACCTGGATATGATAATCCATAATTTCCTTGGCATGAAAATTACCCTGAATCAAACCTACTCTCTCAATTATAACTTTAAGAAACATCCAATAATTTAAGTAACCAGTATGAAGAGAAAATAACCCCACATCTGTAAAATTCATCCCAAAATCCTTATCTTGGAATATGTTCTTCCACTAAAAGAGAAAAGAAAACACTTACAGTTATGGTATACTGGCTTAAATCATGGGCCACTCCCTGGTACACACAATACCAATGTAAAGTACACTCCACATAGGAGGTGACTGCTCACAGTGCAAGCTAGAAAGGCAGTGCCTTGGGGATGCACATGGCATCTCAGTGTTAAACAAAATCACTGAAGCAAAACCTAATTTGCCTAATGCTGATTTCCATGTGAAAGATAAACTTAGATACTCCCTGGGTCAACCTCATTGCTAAAGAGGGGGGTTTAAACACAGTGCAAGGTATATGTGAGTCAAAGAATAATAAATTTACTATATTTAAGAACACATTGTGACACTGTTGTTACGGAGGGATAGCACAAAAGGTCTGCTCATCATACGTATCCCCGTGGAACAAAAGCTCTTACTAGAAAAATCTACTAACATCTTACTATAATTATATCCCGCCGATGGGACTATAAACCCAAAGACTCTATATAGACATCCATTCACAACTGTGGCAAACAATCGAGCCGATATAACGGTCACTGATACCGCATAGCCCACAAGTGGTACTACGACCATGTGGAGCATGAGTAAGCCGGAGTGGTCTACAGGGACATCCAATTGTCAATGCAACTTATTCGAATCTGCTTATTTTGTCACAGCCCACCTACCGGTGGCTGGTAGAACTACAGGCCGATAGCTAGCCGTGAGTGCGAGAGAAACAGAACAATTCAGTAAAATATCTCACGTAGCTGTCCATACATCAAATAACAAGCACTACTTAAAGGCTGGCTGCAATCAATTTGTTTTAAATATATACCTTCAAAGTGCACCTTTGAACAGAAAAGCCTGTGCAGGGAACTGTGTCTTCCCTAGATGACTTCACAGCGACAGCTCCCTCGGTTGTCGAGGAAGGAATTGATAATATTAATTTTTGAAAAAAAAATGCACTTCTTGATGCACTAATAGGAGTGTAAAAGAGTTTCATACATTGAAGAGGAATACAAAGTATTCTTTTTTTGATGGGGCAACTATATATTTTGAGATAAAAATCTAACATCAACTAAGGTGATATTTCTGCAAACTTTAGTAATCACCCATACGAATATTGCACGGAATATGAAAACGTTCTCTGAATGAAGTGGTGTCAGCGAAACCGCTGCATGCTGACAGTGTTTTAAACCCTCTTACAACATAGAGACACATTCATAGCTTAAGCCAGTTTGGCACAGTTGTATTAACTACACGGCTACATTATACTCTAGATTATAATCCATTATAATCCAAAAGCTCCGTTCAGCACAAGTTTTTCAACTAAGGATAAAGGTGAAATGCATAAACACATCTGAACTGTAATAGTTACTACAAACATGAGGAATAATTTGGACTGTATTGCATGGGGGAGGATCCTGGCGTACAGTTCTTACAGCCACACATTAGTGGAATTAATTGATACATCCGTTCAATGATGTAAGTCGTTTTTACAACCTAAAACTTTTTAAAGAAAACTGCATATGAATGTTCCCGTTCAAACGCTATAGAATGTGTACTTGAAAAGTGAATTGGACGTAATCAGTTCCACATCCTGTTTGCACTCCCACTGAAGTTATAGATAGAAACGTACTAGGCTCCAACGTTTTAGCTTCACTTTTGAAGTTGTCATTACATACAGCGTCGTTACAATACACTGACAAGTTGGTCAAAACATGAAATATTACCGTTACTTCGTGCAAACATAACTTCGCCTTACGTGCCTGAAAAATGACACTGGATTACGGAAACAGCGCCCTAGCCTGATTGGCTAGCCTTACCGCTGCTTGGCAACGTTAGAATATATTTCCGTACGGCGTTGCCATTATCATATTCGTAATGTCAAACACTTAATTCTGGTCGAGTGTCAAACAAACATGTAAGGGGACACATTTTAGGAGGAGGCAAACAGTAACATGTACGTAACAAGGTGAATAACTTGTCAGTAAATGTCAAATTTCACAACAGGAAGAAATAAAAGCTACTTCAGTCTACTCTTCTCACTTATCAAACCAGCTCCACTGAGGGGAGCTCATTTTGCCTACGCACAGATGTTCTTTATGCCCGGGCTGAAACCCTATTTAATTTATTTCATCGCAGACAAGACAGGGGTGTGTTACTTGTCATAAAATATAAGTACTTCAACCCAGGTCATATTTATAACGTAATTTGCCATGGAATGGTCTGGGTTTGAAGGGTGTAGGGCCGTACGTAAATATGGTACACTGCAGTGAGACTGAACCGTGATACCCCCGCACATGCCTGAAATTATCAAAGTTTTTCTTAGGGAAATATAGTACGACGGCCAAGAACTTTTTCCGGGGGCGGGGCACCAGAGACAAATTGGGAATGTTATCCATATGGCACGGTCAATATTTCAGCGAGTTTGTTTAGAATCGAAGCAAATAGTAGGTTGTGGAGAGTTTACACAAACCGTGTAAAAATATGACGTTGAAACTGAACATACAATTGTCACCGTAACGAAAATTGAAGTGTGGAATTAATTGCGACTCCATCAAAGAAATAGCTTCCATAAACATTGTTCAATAAATGCCAGAATTTTGTCTGAAAGGAATTGTCCGAGATAAAATGTTCGGGAAAATTGCCCTTCCAGAAGTCTCGCGTGGAATACAATCTGAAACGAAATCCACACAAAGTACAGCTGAAGGCGAGGGTGGTTTGATCGCGCATGGCTTGAGGAAGTGTACATGTACATGTATATTTACAAGTACACGTACTTTGTAAACAGCGTTATTTAATACACGTACTCCATCGGGAGTGGCCATTTCCAACAGTCAGCAATTTGGTCGCCCGCGTTGACATTACGCAACAGGGTGTGCGAGCTCTGACCTAATCCTCATTAGGCATGCAGCGTTACCATGGTCACGACGTGGTCTATGGAAGGATATCTCGACCCCGGCCTATATGGGCCGAATAGACCTCGCATAAGTATGCGGTGGAAGTACTGCGCCTGTGCGTGGCGATATAATGACGTGGGACATCGCAAAGCACTGAGTGCACCGTTGTGGTTTTGTGCCGAACACAATAGGACGCATTTTAGAAGTGGTAAGCGTGCCACAGTACGAGTCACAAACGAGGTCGGCTGTGCAGGTGTTCATATTCTGGGATCATCTACTGACCGTCACGATCAGATAGGGCTTTTTACAAGACACGAATAATTGTCGGTAAGTGTTGGAGTTCAACTCCACGTTTTAACGCGATTGTGTAACGCAATCACGGTTCAATCACGTAGAACAGACGTTTGATCGACCTCAGTTCAAGCCTCGGCCCGCACGGTCATGTAAAACTGTCATTATGAGAGGAAAAACTTGCCGCTTTGAACAGTAATGGCGTGTCCCATTCCCTTCATTATATGGAGCGCTAGTTTTGCATAAGTGTGTTGTAGGCTCTGTAGGCCTATATATCGTGTTGTGATCGTACGTTGTCTTGTGTCAGTCACGTTATAAATAAAACACAGTTAGCATCGAGGTTTACATGTTGACAAAGGTTGACGAATCTGTCTTTTACGTTTTCCTACAAAACGTTCCTTAAAATTTACCGCAATGCCTCTTAGATAATTTTTTCTTTGACCACGGACAGTAACCTTTATCTTTGCAGCATGGAAACGTCGGTGATCTATATTTTGCTTACTTGTGTTTTGCATATTTCATGGGACGCGGTCGAGGTCCCTGTCTTGGCAAACAGCCGAGGACAAAGTTGTCAGCCCAGTGTCATTTTTGTATTTTTTTAAAATCCAACTTCATCAAGGTACTCCGACCAAAAACAAGCTGGCTTTATTTTAGAAGGGATTGTAAAGTTAGACCTAACTGGTATAACTCACAGCAGAACCCATTTGCTTACGATTTAAAATGAAAATTACAAAATGCCATATATAAGGACTGACATGTGAAACAAACCAACCGCTACGTATTCGTACGTAAGTTAGGTTTGTCAATGAAACTACATGTATATCATGTACTGACCCACTGCTTGATGTGGTAAAATTATCAGTAGGTCTAGAGTCTGGAAAGGTCAGTCTACAGTAAAGTTTTTTATTCCTTTGTTACTTTCAGGATTGTGAAGACTGTTTCATGTAACATCTGGGCTGTTCCATTTCACCACTCATTTGTGAAGTCAAATGGACTGCTCCAATTAACTGAGTAAGGTATATATGGCATATACATGTATCTCTATCAGTAGGCCTACCGAGAATTCCGGGCACGGATCGATCTCAGCCAATACCTGTTAGCCTCTAAACATCAAAACAAGAAATACATATACATGTGTAACGAGGGAGCTCAACACTGCCAAGCCTCCACACAGGGTACATGTACATTCAACTCCCGACATTATGCATGGCGCAATTATCAACCTTTGGCGACCTGGTCGACCTGCTGAATATAAGTGCAGTGTATACATATGTGCGGGTGCGTGACTGCACGTACCTCATGCTTCTTGAACATTGGAGTACACTGTTTAGTTAGGAAACTTTTGTGTGTGTCATGTCTATATCACATTCTCGAAGGAAAGATAAGGTTTTCGCGACATTCTGATTCTGCTAGTCGAAAACCACAAAGAACATTGTGATTTTTCACATCTTGCCGCATAGGATTGGCTGAACGTGAATTTGTAAACAATTCCCGCTATTCATTTTGTTACATGTGGGCCACCAGCGTCGCCAGTCGAAAACGTTTATCTTGACTTCAGACATCTGTGAAACATCATTTTGTGAGCCACAAGGAAACACCTTTCTTCCGTTTGACTTTGTGGCGCTATTACTTGAATTATACAGGGTGTCCTCGGCCTTTAGACCCCTCTCCTATTTCCGTCTGGGCCGTCAAAGTTTACAGAAATATCACCTTTGCTTCATTGCAGATTTAACTTCCAACTTTAGCTTACATTTTGACATTTTGACACATTGCTCTCAAGAGGGCTGCATTTTATGTACACGTAGTTTGTTATCTGGTGTTTCAATGGCTGAGTGGTCGAGCCTGGATTTTTGTACACCCAGTGAATTGTTCTTTGCTTCTGCATTGATGGCCGTCCACTCGTGTATCAGCTTTTGTAGACAAGCATACGACTGTGGCGTGCGCGCATGGAGGCAGGGATAGCACAGCAGGCCGTGGTTTGCGTGGGCGAACAAAGGAACTTTGGCACGCTGAATGGCGCCAGACTAGGGCCCTCTTCGTCCGCGCGCTGACTTGGACTATTATAATGATACTCCTGGCATTACATATTCATTGTTACTATGGCTACTGAAGACGTGGGCTGCAGCGAGTGCAACGTCTAACGCATTGCTTAATTAATTGGGGCGTGCACCTTAAACATGAATCGTACATGCTGCTGTTCGGTACATGCACTTCGTTGTCTGGATCTATGTTCGGTGCCAGTGATGATTCAGTGGATTACATGTACATGAACATTTACATGTATATTGATTTTCAGTCGCAGGATCAAAAAGGTACATACCTTTGAATACTAAGATTTTCATGCGTATGTATTCAACTATAAAGACTAAGATCAGAAACGATGAAGGACAGATATTTTAACTAACAACTGGTTTAACAATTCAAGAGAAATGCGTTTGCCTATATAATAGTGAATATCGTTTAAATCAATATGTTGATGAATTCACATCAACTTAATTTCAACCAGGCAACAGCAAGATGTTGAGCACGTTTTGAGACTTGATGTAATGGTGCACCATGTAGTGATCGAGAGTTCGATAAAGTACGTTTAATAAACATTGATAAATTCGGTGCTAACCAAATTAATAAGTATATGAGAAGATCAAAATTTGAAAACATCGGTGTTATATGGGCAACATAAATGTATGTATAAACTGTACTCCCTTATAAAATGTCATTTTGTTTTCAATTAACTCCCTTTTGCGGGTTTTTCGGTCATTGGAATTCGAGTCGAAATATATATACACGTAGATACATATTTTTAATATTGAGGAGCAGAACATGATTTTGGCATAATTTTTGGTTTGTTTCTTTATTAATAATAACTATATTTTTTAGAATTAAATGCACATAAGCCGGTTTCAAATCTGCCAAAATAAGCATACGTTTAAAAATGAAAAGGAAATCAAGGTCGAACATTAATTTATATAAAATCTATATTTTTAGCCTATGAATTATTCAGTTATCAATCAATATTTCTCGAAAACCTGGATCCTTTTGGGTATGGTTGAAATATGGGCTGTGTGTGGGTACGTGTGTGCAGGCGTGGCGTACATAGTGTGGACTTCTGCACAAAAGTCCACGTAATATACCTGTACATGTAGGTTGTGATGAGCGTTGTGTGGACTCGCACACATCCACAGTTTTCCCCTCTCTGAAACACAGCTTTAGAGGCATTTTGGGGTCAAGGTTATCTGTGGCAAATAGAAGAGGAACAGTCCAGGATTTTCATCAAAAATCCAGCTCGAAAGAGTCATCGTACTGGGAGATAAAGGAGCAATTTTCCCAAGTTACCTTAACCTAAGGAGAGCAAAGGAATGATCACCCTTCTTATGTGAAACAGGTATGCTTGTGTGCGTGTTTGGGTGGAGGTAAATTGTAGTTTTCCCCCCTTATAATTCTAAGTTGTTAACTCCTTTATGTAACCATTTTTTCAGGTTTCGTTTTAGTGTGATTTTGTTCATATCACTGTTTTCATGCCTTGAATGACAGGGATAACACTTTGCAATGGTGCTTGTATTCGTGACAAAGAAACGAAACAGAAACTGAGTGCACTAAACAGATGCTGGGCAATCCTAAGAGATATGAAGGCCTCCTTCGTGCACGGCCGGTAGTGGGTGCGCGTGATGTCCAGTCAGTACACATGTACGTGTATACAGATCAGCGAGTGAATTTGATAGCTTAATCAGTCCAGTGACCTTGTTCCCACATCTGGCATTTTTATTGGTCAAAGGTCAGTTATTTTTTCCTGCTTATTTTCACAATGGTGTTAGCGCTACAGGAAAAAATATGGACAATATAAATAAACTGTTCACCCAAACCATTTTCTCTTTTAACCAAGATAATCTTTTCTCGTTACTTATAATTTCACACCAAGTGCTGAAAAGGTTTCCGACTACACTGCAGTGGTATGTCAACGCTTTTAGAGAGTGTGCACCGAAGTCAAAACCAACAAGTTTAAAAAGTTGTTCCGCCCTTTCCTTCCTTTGTAATGTTTTGACGTCAAGGTTTTGAATAAATCTCGACGATTGGAAAAATTGTTGAAATGGCGAACATCAAAAAAGTGAGGTTTCTGTTGTACACTTACATATAGGTCAGTCTGCAGAAGGACGACGTAGCATTAATTTACGTTGATTTTTCACCACAAGGAAATCCGGAATAGGCCTTTACCCAAACCGAATTTGCTGTCATACATAATAAACGATTATTTTACAATACCAACCTGACCTTGTTGATGAAACAAATGAGTCATGAACAGTTCAGTACAAAGGTACTACGCATAGAGCCTACCGGGCCCTAAGTGTTTCCAGACAGTACTGTCTGCCAGGTGAATATTACTCTGACGAAATACTTTATTTTCCATGGCAGCAGCTCAGAGGAGTCGATCAGATATGCTTACGCAAACGAAAAAATCGAATATTAATTTGGACCTTAAAAAAATGCTGTATCATTCAACACAAAAATTTTCACATAGCAAGAGCTATATGTGAACTCTGGGAAAATGTTAGGGGTCATGACATGAATTTACTTGGTAAAATGTTCTGTGCATTTTTCTACTCTTAAACGTGTGAACCCTATTTGCCACTCATTGGGGCCCATCTCACTGAGAATTACTCTTTTTTAAACACTGAAAAAATTCCATCGTTTTTCGGATATATGAGTGGGCTGTTGGTGCGATTTCAAGAATTTAATTTGATTTGATAGTTTTGGTTTTAAATTAGGGACCCAAAATTTTGGTTAGGGAAACTATTTGTGAGAAAACCTACTTCACTTGCCCACTACTTTTAATGTCTTAGCAGGTCGATGAATCACAGAAGAAAAGAAAATTAACAATAGGAAATATGCTTAATTATAGTACATGTATAAATCTTGGTAATGAAATTGTTGTTGTAGCATTCAGGTTACCCCCTGGAATGACACCGCATTTTTGCTCATTTTTGAACAATTGCAGTAGCAAAAAACCCTAAGGGAAAAATGTCAGTACAGTTTATTTCAAAAGGGAACCGAAATGAAAATTGAGAAAAAGAGGAAATGCCAACATGGTTACGTTTACGACGGCGCCATTTAATGTTATAGGTAGATTTCATAGGCCTTTTTATAGGGATAAATGTTTGTAATAAAAATGTATGTAATAAAAACAAACTGGAAGGTAAAATAGAAACCGAACGTATTCATTGCAGTCATTTAATTTTATTTTCTCATTTATCACATGATGTTAAGGAAGGAGAATAACAGTCACGATTCTCTACCACGCGCCAAAACGGCCAATTAAATATTTTTATTTACACACTGCTTTGCCGGTGTGCTGTGAATTAGCTTGCATAAGCATCAAATCCATGCGCATAGTGATATTATTATGCATTATAGCAGGGTGTGGTCAAGTCCATACATGTATAGCTTCCACAGGGCAACCCTGACTTGGTGGCTGTGTGTGCCGTGTCAAACCAGCGAAACGCAGGACGAGACTGAACCCAGTCAACTTGTAGATGTAACGCGAACGTACCCTCAGGAAATGTTACGTCCTCATTCGTTAGATACGATTTCGAGATTATAATGGGAAACGTCTCCTCTCCAATGCTGGCGCCACCAAGCTTTCAAATTCCAAGCATTCCTGCACTAAATCTGAGAATCTGATCCAGTAGTCAGAGGATTTTGCTACAGACTATGGAGGCCTGTAAAATTAACTCTGGTTTTGCACGGAAGGACTGTCACAGAAAAGAAATAAATTACACAAAGTGTGCCATAGCTTGCAATATTTTGAGTAAAAACATCGGCATGATATGTTTGTGTGTGTGTTTTTTAATTAAACACAGGAGACAGTACCTTGATTTACTGCAGTTGACTGTTTTGACAAGACTTACATGCATGGCTATGCGACAAATCAAGCGGAACAGCCAGATGTCATCTTTAAACAACAGGGCGGGACCGCCCCTGGTGTCCAATAAGCCGGGGGAACCAATGGCGCTCTTTGCCGTACCGTTGCCAAGGTTTGTATGGTACAGTACGGGTAAAGCAAATCCCTTGCAAAATCGCCTAATCAGTTTGTGGGATTCAAGGTTGTTATTAAAGTAGTCATATTGAAAGTGAACTTTCCCCATTTCCCTGTTGGTACCAGTGCTTTAAAGTTTTGTCATTTCTATTGAGACTTGTTGTCATCCTTTCAACAGTTCCTGTAGGAGTGATTTCTTGTGCCTCTGTAAACGCCTCTTCTGGAATGTCGGAACATCTTACTTCTCAGCTTTCTGTCCTCTGACAGTTGGAGAAACCAGACTTCTTCCTCACTCTTCAGCAGTCGTCCAACTTGTCTCAGTGACGCCGGCTGTGTCGACAGGTCAGGAAGGTAAACAGGCGACACAAGATCTACTGGCGTACACCTCGTCGGGTGACATTGTTGGTATTCCCTATGTTTCCATCTCCAGGGATCATCATCCAAGGGGAAAACTTGCCAAAGGTTTCCCTTTCGGCGATCTGACCACATCTGCTTGGGTTCCCGCCATCAACGCCCCATATGTTGGCGGCACAACAGGCATACCATCTAAACAGGACGTATTCATCATACGTAATGATCAGGAAACGAGGAAGTCGTTGTTGAAGGGGGATAATGTTGTCTTTTCTCAACCGGACAGTAAAAAGTGTGACACATCAGCTGCCAAAGAGACCTTACCAGTACAGGATTTGCAGGGATCACCTGATCACGAGGTTCCTCAGACAAACAACTCCCCACAAAAGGAGAATGACCGATCGTCTAAGATGTCCCCAGCTTCCAGTTCCTTATACAAATTGTATACCTCAAACAGAAGAGATCAGGAGACCACAATTTCAACTTCTCCCAAAGGTAATCAAAAGGACTCTCTTGTCAAAGAATCATTCGAATCGCCTACAACGCCAGAGAAATGCACCAAATACCCGTCAATGGTTTTGCCACAGATTGATGCCGTGTTCTCATTAGCAGGTTCCACTTCAGACAATGAAAGCTTATCAAAGAGAATTGCAGATACTCTAGCAAAAAGAAATACTTCATTGCTGCAAAATCAAGAGATCAACACGTCATTGCCAATAGGTTCGTGTATTACTGGACACGATTCATCGACGCAGCAAGGTTGTGGTAATCCCGTTAAGGATTCCTTGTCTGACCCCTTGTCACCTAACCCAGCGACCCCAGCATCTCAGTTGGCATTGTCTCCTTCGAGTACATCTCTTGGATCATCAATACCACCCCAAGCAAGCGGTGGTTTGTCTTTGAAGCCTCTGCAAACGTGTTCATTGGAATCGGTGAGACAACCTGGTCAACGGCCGGAAACGCAGACTGTTGATCCTCTGATCCCCAGTCCTCCAGTGAAGGCCAGCCTTACAGCACAAGCACAGCCGCCCTTCACGAAGTCGGCTAAGGAGTCAGTAGAAATCACAACACGTAATTCCACAAGCCAACTCAGTCAAGGCCAGGCAAATCTAAGGAGGTCACACAAGAAGCTGTCCGGCTTTACCGTTAGGGAAATTCTGATGAGTCGTCGACTGACGACACCATCGCAACTTGTAACCTCGGCCAACGCACCGGCGGGCATTGGGACTCCAGCTCCCATCATAGTTCCTCTTAATGGAAGTTCTGCAGCAGTAAACTTGCAAAGTTGCTCCGTTTTTCAAAATAATCCAGATGTACCCGACAGGATGTCAGGTCTTAACACCACAAGGCTTGCTTCTGTAAGTGAAAGCAGTTGTGGTTGTGCAGAAAGTAAACAAACCGAAGTACCCTCTTTGAAGATGGTTATTAAAACCGAACGAGACTGTGACAATAACTTACGAACAACTTGTCATCCGGTGGGAAGCAAGCTTTTTGATCGTGACAAAATTCTGTCTCTGAAAATTCCAAAAATTGACATCAGTGGTTACGACTTTGTTGACCCGGCGTTGATCATGGAGGATAGAAGTGATGTCATATCGAGGAAGAATGCGATACAGGAAAGCAGCTTTTTCGGTGACACAGCAACCCTCGAGGGTAGCAACAAACATGGTGAATTGCAGTCAGAAAGGAAACTTTACGAACACATCCAAGTTACGAGAGCACTGAAGGACAAAATGGACACAAACATCTTTCCAACCACTCAGATTGCCTCTCTAAACAGGGGCAGCTACCAAACTAATAAACATAAAAGAAGACGATCAAGGTTTCGATTGAGTCTGTCGAAAAAGGGCAAATCGAAGCTTAGCCATGACCAATCAAAATTGCACAGTGCTGCCTGGGTAGGAAAAAGGAATACTGCATGGCTGGATGGCCGAGAACGCCTTTCTGATTGCCAAAACAGATTATCTGAAAGAAGTAAACGCCCAAGACTGGCAAACTCGAATGGATATGATGCCAGTTTTTCTGGCAGTTTCTTCCAGTCTTTCGCGCAAGAGTCATTAAAACTATGCGAATCGGTAGAAGACACTCAGAATAACGCTGTTGAGTCGGGAAGAGGTTCAGGGAAAAGTACCCCCCGTGTCGCTCATACAGAGCATGAAACTCTAGAAGATCCGTGGAGCGACGCTTCAAGTTCCACTGGGAGTGAATGGGAATGTCCGGATAAAAGCTCTGTTGCTGATGTCGACAGCGACTGGGATTCCAGTTTGGAAGACGAAGTCACAAGCTCGCCTGTTAAATGTGTACAACCAATCAAGATGACACCTTTTGGGGATTTTCAACATATGGTGCTAAAGGACAGGTTGAGGTTGCTCGAACAGAGTTTAAAGGAGCATCAAACCGTCCTCAATTCGATGAAAAGGCCGCTAGAAAGTGAACAGCGAGTCTTTGCAGCGGACAATAACCTCTGAGATAACCCAAAACAGACCAAACTAGTGTTATGAAGCGAATTATTGTACAATTTGAATCTGTACCAGGAATGTTAAAGTGAAACTACACGGTTAATTATTTTTTTGCGTTTTAACTACATTTACATGTACATTGTATAGGCCTATAGCTTATTTTTATGCTTGAATTTTCTTCCTTGCATTGTTCAATCTTGCAGTGCTGTTTAAACGAACCGCGCACATTTCATTCAGAGTTCATCGGTAAGTTCAGGATTAATGACTGCACTTTGAGATACCTAACACTCTTTGTAAGGCCATATTGTTGGCGTGATGGTGTCAGATGGAATGGACAGTGTGAATTGTGCCATGTGCTTATTTTGTAATTCACACTCCAAAAGACGTGCAGTTAATGCTTGTGAGAATGATATCTACACGAAAAAGTGTCCACTTTGTGAATTGTACTCTTCGGAACTAGTTTTGTACAGCTTATGCTCCTCTTCATTGTAAAAAAACTCTTTTTGGTTACTGTTATGTGAAATCACCATTTTGTTTGATGAAATTATTCGTGAGAATTAAAGCTTTGGTCACAGACTTACTGTCTTGAACTGGAACAACAAATCTCCAACCTTAAATTTCCATCACGAAAATAAGAATAATTCAGGCAAATGTAAGTGCAGAAATTGTTGCTACAGAGAGGAATGTACTTTAGATGACGTCACACTTTTTCATATAAATATGCAAATTGGCATTAGCATATAAATTTAAAAATCATGAAAGTGCCATTATTATTGCACACAAGATTGAAAATCAAGTTAGTTAAATGGGACACCGGAGCATATGCAAGAACTGCATTTAAGATTAAAGATTAAAGGGCCTTTAATTTCAAGGCTTGACATCCAAGAATTAGCATGTTTTACATCTGATTAACCGATACAACTCTTTTATCTGGAAGAAAAGTATGCCATTATCATGTCAAAGGCCCAGCCTTTCATTCAACAAACAACTTGTCTCAAACATGCACATGGTATGTATTTGTGTCAGAATGCTCGAAAAAATCATACGAGTATTTACATGGCGAGTTAATCAAGGCCAGAGCGCCTACATCTAAGAAAAAGGCGCACTCGTTCGCCCAGGAACAATTTTGAAAAAGCAAATCCTTCACTAATGGTAGAATTTTCTGTTTAAAGGTATTAAAGGCTTTACATATTGAGCACTGCAAAAGGATTTGTAAAGAGATGTGTTAATAATTGAAATTAAATCAAATACACAAAATTTAGTTAGTTTAAAGCAGGACTTGAATAACACTTTTATACACAGTGCGATGTTTTTATACAATGCTTTTGTACTTAGTAATTGTGTAAAGCCAGTCAGGAAAAAGGAAAGTGCAACGTCAGGGTACGTAGCGCAGTTCCATTGCCTGCTTCTCTTAACTGTATATTATAGCAGTGTAAATCCGTTTAAAGCACTGTAAAAATACCTGCAATTAACTCTGGTTGAAAGGCACCTTGATTGATGACGTTTGGGGAAGAAACGAGTCTGGTTAAGATGTTTAGACCTCTTGGCGAGTTTGACTTGGTCTTCGGCTACATTGGTGCTATCCAAAAGGTTTTGATAATACGTGCAGGTAATATTCTCAGAAATTAATACTAGAATAATACATCAAAAGTGGTCTTCCTTAAATTTTGGCTCATTAAAATGAAACCAAACAGAAACGCCGTGCTTGTAAGTAGGCCTCTTCGCGTGTACATGTGCATTATTCGTATGTAGAGCTGAGAACAAAGTGTATGCAAGACACCAAATCGCAATAGTGTTCTGTGGTTTGCTTGGAGTTGATTCGCGCAACGTCATTGCATTCAGCTACAGGAAATTTACCTATTCCAGCATTTTCCGTCGTTGCTATAACGGAAAGCTCTCGTGAAGTTCACATTATAAATAGCATGGAACAACGCGACGAAGTAGAATTTATTCAGGAGTCAACTGGACTGAATTGAAAGCGATGCTAACTTTCCATTTGGCGAACGTGTACAAAAGAAAGCAACGGAATGAAACTCCATTGCAAATCAAATGCCAGTTCACGCGAATGAATAATTGAACACTTTCGTTATTCACTGTATAAATGTTATAAGCCATATTTGAAAAAAGTGAGAGTGACGCAATGGGACCCCAAATTGTCTTGCAACACCCAATTCAACTTATTGTGTTGAATGGGATCAGAAAACACGATTGAAAATGGCTTCCAGTGATTAAGGTCTATTGAGCTACATCCTTTGTACATGTAGGATCGAATTTAGGTCGAAGTTCTCACCGATTAAAATTTATTCAACGTCAGCACTACATGGTGTGTGGTTACCTGTAAAAGTGCAGTTACACATGTATATTCTAGCATGTTAGCAAAACAACGACCACATTAATGTAACGGTATTTATTTTTTTGTTTATATCCCATGGTTAATTACATGTAATTAACGTAACACTGAAGAACGCTAGTGAGCTTCCATGTTTTTTTACAATAAAACGTTCCAACCTTTTACATGTACCCAATGCGACCATAAGATAACATTTAAGGAGCAACACGAAAATGTGATAACATTTTGACGTTCCTATAACGTTCAGTTAAAGGGCCTGTGAAACATGGTTTTCTTAATTGTGATTGAAAATTGTACAGTTTTAAATGAAATCCAGAATGTAAAAGTTGTTTTGATGAATAAAATAGGAGAGAAAAAGGAAAACGATTTTTGGCGAAACAGCCCTCCCATTAGAGGTATCTCATTAACATAAACAATTTACATATCTGTGACGAAAATTTGAGAAGACATCGCCGTTAGCACGTCAATTCTTGTCTTGGATTGCCTTCGGAAAATTCAGTCCAATTTTGGGGTATTTCAGCGATCATGCCGACCAGACGTTTTGCCGTAGGCTGCGGCAACAAGCCTTATGCTTTTCAACCGAAGCGAAATTTGGACAAATTTATATTTCCCATGATAGCTCTAAGTGTTTAGATTGAATAATTATGAAATGCAAATCGAATGATATACAGTAGTTCCCAGTTTAAATATTAAAAGCAACAGAACCATTGACCACACTCGACATCTTTTAACGTAAACCTGTTTTCTTCAAGGTTCATGTACTGAAGCACGATTTTATTTGAGGTTTTGTGGAAAATGGACCGAGAAAAAAATGCCGACTTGTATGAAATGATGCCTTATAAATGCCGACTTAAAAATGAATTTTGCAATGGAGATGCATTACAGACGATCGGGACTTTTGTCAAAAGGCCGACTTAGACGATGTGACGAGTTAAGCGACGCCGAATAAGTCAGAGTTTACTGTATATGATAAATAACTGTGCTGCTGACATATTTTAGACCATTTAAAGAGGTCCAAAAAGGAAAAAATCTCCCCAATTATAACCTTTAAACAATAGGTGACAAGACCATCTTTAAAAATCGGCATGAAAACGATGGAACACTCTTCCCATTCATGGCCGAAAACATAGGCTTCTGTGAGTCCCTTTTTCGCCGATTTTAGAAACGCTCATTATGTATTAATGATATGCTGGTGACCCCAAAACGTCACTGGGAGATACGATTGCAAACAGAGTGTGCATTTCACACAAGTCTCGTAGTAGATGCTAGCTCAAAATGTAATGATTTAGCGCGGTTCTTGCGTACTGTGTTGATTGTTCCATCCATCAAGTTTATGTGTATGATTTGCATGTGCATGTGCCGTGAATTTTCGAGGACTGCTTCGACAAATATCCAGTGTCTGCAAATAAAGCACTCCAAACTGAGAATAAGCCTCACTGACTGTTTGTGTTGTGTTGCATCTGACGGTGCAATGTACAGGTATGTACGGTGCTGTGCTGCTGGACCGCCACAAGGTCTGTGTTGGGGACCGCCACAGCACTGATGAGCCCCGCAACACTGCCAGGTTGTTTGCCGTCGTCCTCATTCACCGACGAGTAAATGATTACTTTCATAGGAGTTGAATCCACTCACTTTCACGAGAAGAATCTTATATGTGTTTATCTCTTTTTCTTCGATACAATGAACACACGCACGCTAGTCTTCTAAGACTTTAGCTGCAAATGTTTGCACTTGTCACATTACAAGGTACATGTACCCGCGATTCAGCCCAAGATTCCGGTCTGGGTACTGACTCCTACGCCGACCGCTTTATCATATGAACAGTCTGTTCCCGCACTGCACGTGAACACGAGTGCACTCTCCACCTTTAATGTCTTGTACTCCATTTCGGAACAAATCTCACAATTATTTTAACTAGCTAAGAGTAAGATTTTAGGTTAATACATCTTAGAGATTAATGTATAATATTTTGCATTTTTTACACGGAACTAAAACTCATTTTAATACATTCCGGGGCCACATCGATGCCAGCTTACATATATCTGCATGCATGCCTGCTGTGCCTTTCTCCTCATGACGTCATCAACCCCAACGTAAACACGAAATTTGAACTCACGTGTTTCCGAAATCGGCCCAGTTAGTTGTTGAAAGAAATCGCCTCTTATTTCTCTCATATTGATTTTCAGGAAATAAATCAATTGTATGCTGGTTTTGGGGTGGCCAATCTGCCTCCAAAACCGTAAATGTTGAAATATTTGAAGTCTTCTGAATACCACTTTAAAAGAGTCGCAATCAACAATGAACATGACTAAGTTCAAGTTGGCTCACTCTACGACATTTGATACAAACTATGGAACAGACAACCCCCCCGCCTTTGTGTTGGTCATTGTTATACTAGTATCTCAGGGATTCTTTTCAGACATATGGGGAATGGGTTTAACAGTAGGCTAGAGTGTGTATAGGGATTGGACTTGTTATTGGTATACCCCTCTGTCCCATTTCGTGCCAGGTATACTCCACGTCAGCACCACAAAATTTGCAAATGTTACTCAGCTTGACGACAAGGACGTCTTTACCCAAGCGTAACCCTATCACCAGTCAACCGTAAGTAACTCTACATGAATAGCAATGACGCAAACATTTTCCCAACAATGCTATGCTCTCACTACGTCCGCTCAACGTTCAGTCATTTCGATTCGTTTGCCTTTCATTGATACATGCATTTCGCTTCAGCTGAGCATCGCTAATGCACGAGCATACATGTATTATTTTGTTTTCTAGCAACCATTTGCATTTGTGCGCCAGCGAATTGAATGGCACATATTCTTATAGCTCTTTGGGATACCCAACAGGTCGATTCTGTGCCAAAAGAGGGGTTCAAGGTTTCATGGAGCTACAGGATTCCAGCTGGGGACACCTGCTAAATTCGAGTTCAGACGCTTCCATATACATGTACATATACATATATGTATGAATACATACTATATATACACATAAATATCGTCCTGGAAGATCAAATATAGCTTATACCTGGTAAAGTAAACCGAGGTTGATGGCAGCTAGTACAGTATTTTTTTTATATGAGAGCATGCCTATATACATGTACAATTATGATCGGAAACCTTCCGCTTTTAGACGTCTGTATGTTGCCATGTTGTATGAAATGAAAGAGTGTATTCCTTTCAACGAAGCATTCAGGGTGTAGTAGATTTCACTGGTCCTCGCCGTTCTCGGTCACGTAAAGCGTAAAGTTCAACCAAACATGGCACTCACTTTAGGTATAGTCTATGCCAATACATGTACCCACAGTGTGTATAGTGTATACGTGATATCTTTTTGAACAGTGGCAATTTCATGTCTAATATGGAGTGAAAAATATGTCTTACATGTCACTAATCCCCTCCCACAAACCAGACACTATCGACATCGTACTTGCTCGCGTGAAGCCGCCATATTGTTCGAACTTCGAAGTTCACATACATAATTATAATACCAAGGATATAAATATTTAATAAGATCGGTCATTTGCATGCAACTACCGCACCCCCATTCCTGCAAGATTCCCAAGATGTTAGTGAGAGTAACTAAAAACTAGTTGTGCGAGGCCGCTCTTCAACAGAAATAAAATAACTATCGATCACTGACGTCTTGGGCCAAGACTATGCTGTGCCATGCGTCACATTTCTTATTTCCCGTCACAAATGATTTCGCGTATAGCATTTTTTGTTCCCACTGCATTTTTGTTTCGAATGGCATATTTGGTTTTGCGTCTCTGTTTTGTAAAGCTCACATTAAAGCTCTTTAATAGCACACGATCCCAGTGAAATGGCTGTCAATATTGGCGATTTTCGGGCGTATATGAATTTTGTTGTCAATATATTGGTGTCAATATTCAAAACATTTGGTTTTGCCAACTACAATTGATAAATACTTCCATAACAATGGGTATGCCAAACATCCCATAAACCTAGATTTGTTACTTAAGATCTTACGAAATCTCAAATCAAGATCGATCACAATAAGGACACACGTTCTCGGAAAGTTCAAAACGATAATTTCTTGTACACAACATCTGCCATAGCAGGTATACGGGTAAAACGAAACAGGGTCCGTTGTGCACCACCTTGAATATGTTCTGCTTTATCCCAATGTGTCTCACATTAAAATTAAAACAGTATACAGGACAAACCATGAGCGTCTGCTTCAGTTTTACTCCTGTGAAAAACACCATGATAGCATTTTAGCTATGTATAAACCCATACAACATCATGTTATTTTTACCTGACCTTGTTTCCAAAGACACTTCATTATATCCCATTTACAGTGGTCACAAAAGTTCAACCAAGGTTTTGCTGAAGCTC